TGACTCCATATAAAATGTTTCAGCCATATTATGGGGCACACTTAAAACCCGAAAATATTGAATTAAAGTCATCTTTATAGCATTTAGAATAAATTCTATCTTCATGTTACGCAAAACTCAATTTTGGAAAAATATTACAACTAGAATATTTAAAAAATCGACCACCCTAACTCTGCGGACTCTTTCAAGCAGCAGTAAAAGGTTGAAAATGCAGCGTCTCGTCACTTAAGATAATTTATAGTTCATATTTACTTACATAAGTACACACACACACTGACTCACATCTGCACTGGCGGTAGACACCAAACGCAGTGCCATTCACGCCGCTGTTTACCAGCAAATTATGGCATGCTTGTGCACTTGCATGCATAAGCAAATCTGAGTTGTGAGAAAGCCTTTCTCAAATATTTGAACCCCTTTTGTTAATATGGCTAAGCCGTTTAAGACCTAATTATATCTTTGCGGCTCAAATGAAAGTGCGATAAGCTGTTAAATACCAAAATGCGTGCTTGCATACATAAATCCGTTACTGTTTACACATGCACTTCTGCTGAAATGAGTCAGAGCAAGGTAAACAACACAAGGTGCTTCAAAAATACCTAAAACCCCACAAAGTCACTATAACGTCAAGCCTTTGCATAATTAGTGAATGGTGTTTGGTTGTTTTTGCTGAAATAATATATTTAACTTAACCAAGACAAAATGCGCAATAGAGAATGTTAAAATTTGCAAGTTAAAAAAAATTATTTAATGTTATTTTTAATACTTTTGGTGATCATAGATCTGATCTAAACAATTTCTTCGGCTATTGYATCGTTGCCTTGGAAAATAATTCATTCTAAGTTTAATGAAGATATCTCGTAAAATGAAAAAGTTTTCCATATATGAACTGATTTTTGATCGATCGGTTTGTATGACAGCTATATGCTATAGTGTTCCGATCTTAACAATTTCTTTGGCGATTGCGTCGTTGCCTTGGAAAATAATCCATGCCAAATTTCTTAAAGATATCTCGTTGAAYAAAAAAGTTTTCCACATAAGAACTGGCTTTTGACCGATCAGTTTTCTTCGGAGATTGCAGTATAAATGTAGTATAGGTAGGGATCTACACAGCTACTTCGAAAATTGCATCGTGACTTCCACCATGTCACCATGAGCACATTTTTTTTACGATTTTTGTCAATTGTCAAGAATATTGAATATTTTTTTGATCGCTTAAACTTTGATTTATAGAGATGTTTTTTATACCAGTCGGTTAGTTAACAAAGGTTTAGTACTAAATTGAGTGATTTATGGCAATTTCATGCCATCTTTGCCGTTTAAACCCTACATTTCCCTTGCCAAATCGTGTTTTTTTCGCAAAACCAAATCTGGTGCGCTAAATGCAATTTCTCACAATGAAAATATTCATAAATGAGATAATAGGACACGCCTAAGCGTAAACCAAAGGCACCGCAAGTCATAAATTAAATGTCAAGCAATGAATCTTTAGATCTACAGTCGCAGCATTGGATATGCATTAGGCATCATRTTGCTGGCTACGCGCAGCTAATCGGCTCACACATATACACACAATTGCAGCAATTTTYCGCAGTTAAACGGACTTTTGTTGTGGGCTTGTTGGGTGCAAGCAGGAAGTCGGCAGCCAAACCAACAGCGATGCACTTGTAGAGCACGAATGTGGAAATGTCGAAAAGCATAAAGCAACTAAATTATGTCTGCAAAAAATAAAAAAAAAACCGAATGGATTCATTGCACATTGTGGCCGCCATAAAGCCGAGCAATGATTAAAGATAGAGGGATTTATGACGTCGCCAAAACGGCTGAACGCTGAAAGGATGCTGCACATGGCCGAACTGGCGCGGTCGTGGTTATAAATTGAGAACAAATCAAGGCAGAAAATAAATTAGYAGTACCCAGTAAATGAATATTTTAGCGTTGTGAGATCTTTTACAACAACACACACTCATATTTRCCTATTAGATRTWTTYMMTAATTGCTCATATACCCGCCTAGCTATTTRACGGACTGCCAAAGCAGTTCCGGATAATTTTGCTATTAGCATGCCTGCTGAACGCTRGCATTTCGGAACAGTACCACATTCCAAATACCAAATTCGTTTTCGGTTAACTTTCATCTATTCTCTGAGGTTTACTTCCTTTCACCTAACTAACAAATAAAAGTTCTGACCTTGTTTGCAGCATAAGTTGATTGTGTGGCAATTACTCGGTCTACAAATACTGATCGCAGTGAATTCCGAAAGTATGGAAAGATAAATAATATAAAAAAACGGCGATACTAAATACTTACAAGTATTTTTCTGGCAGAAAAAARCACCTAAAATAGTTTGCCATGATTCGTC